AGCAGCAGCAGCAGCAGCAGCAGCAGACTGGCAGAGGCCGTGAGGCCTCGAGTGCCTCGGCAGCTAATGCTGCGCTGAGCAGAAGCTAGAGGTTCATGTACTTTGTTTCAGTGGCAGCTAAAAAGAAAAATTGTTTTATTTTTGCTGCTGGGTTTGTTCTTGCTGCTGCTGCTGCCGCATTTGTGCTGCTGCTGCTGCTGTCGGCTGCTCCCAGCAGCCGAAGGGCCCCCCAGAGCCGCACGAGCAGCAGCAGAACAGCAGCAGCAGCAGCAGCAGCAGCCGTAGCAGTGCAAAGCGCAGCGCCACCAAGAGAAAATATGTTAGCAGCAGACTGCTGCATTTACCTTTTAAGCCTCGCGACAGCTGCGTGACGCAGCAGCAGCAGCAGCAACAGCAACAGCAGCAGCAGCAGGTACTGCTGCTGCGGAAGGCGGCAGCGCCTGGTTCCCTACGCTCCCCCTTTGAATATACAGAGCAGAAACAGCAGCAGCACTGCACATCTCAAACTGTGACGCAGCAGCAACAACACCAGCAGCAACGGCAGCAGCAGCAGCAGCAGCAGCAGCAGACTGAGACCGAGACACACGCAAGAGCCAACAAGCAGCAGCAACACAGCAGCTGCTGCCTAGCAGAAAATTTAAGCTGAGATCCGCGATAGAAACAGCAGAAGCAGAATCGGCAGCAACGGCGGCGGAGAGAGACGCAGCAGCAGCAGCAGCAGCAGCAGCAGCAAACGCGACGTCGTGACGAGCAGCAGCAAAGCCATCACCAGCAGCTGCAGCAGCAGCAGCAAAGTGGAAGCTGTTCCCCGGCTGACTGCAGCAGGGGCCCCTTGCTGCTGCAGGAGGATTGCACGCTGCTGCCACGGGTCCTGCAGCAGCAACCCAGCAGCAGCAGCAAAGCAGCAGCAGCAGAAGCAAGGCAGCAGCAGCAGCATCAGCAGCACGATGTGGATTTCTTCCTTCGTCTCCTCAGTTCTTAGGGACGATGAACTTTCTGAGCATGAGGAGGAGGAGGAGCAGCAGCAGCAGCAACAGCAGCAGCAGCAGCAGCAGAACCAGCAACAACAACAGCAGCAAACTGCAGAGAGACCGAATACGCCCGTACAAGGAAGTGGAGCAGCAGCAGCAACAACAGGCTCGATATCGCCGACATCAACCGCAACAGCAGCAGCAGCAGCAGCAGCAGCAGCAGCAGGGGGTCCAGGGCAATTCAGCTACGCCTCGCTGCTGCAGCTGGTGGAGCGGCAGCAGCAGCTGCTGCAGCGAGAGGCGCAGGAGAAGCAGCGGAGAGAGCAGCAGACAAAAGATCTAGAGCGCACTGTGCAGGTTCTGCAGCAAGAGCTGCAGCAGCAGCGACTGCAGCAGCAGCAGCAGCAGCAGCAGCAAGGCATACAGCCTAAAGTCGACAGCGCCGCCCTCGCAGATGCTTGGGGAGCTTCAGCAGGCGCTGCAGAGGAAGAGCAGCAGCAGCAGCAGCAGAAGCAGGGGCAGAGAGAATGGCAGCAGCAACAGTTGCTACTGCAGCAGCAGCAAGACAAGCTGCAGCAGCAGGAGCAGGTTATACAGCGTCAGCAGCAGCAGTTGGAGCAGGCTCAACAGCAGCAGCAGCAGCAAGTGCAGAAAAGTGCTGAGGAACTCTCTCTGCTGCAGATTCGCATTGAGCAGCTGCAGCAGGAACTGCAGCAGCAGCAGCAGCAGCACGGGCAGAAACAGCACGTGCAGCAGCAGCAACAGGAAGCAACCCAGGAGAAAGAAAGGCTTGCTGAGGAGCAGCAACGGCTGCAGCAGCAAAGAGAGCAGCAGCAAGAAGTCCAGCAGCTACAGCAGCAGCTGCAGGAGCAGCAACAGCAGCAGCTCGAGCTTCAGCAGCAGCTGCAGCAGCAGCTCCAGCAGCAGCAGCAATATGAGCGCTCGCTGCAAGACAAGCAGATCCAAGTTGAGCGGCTGCGGCAACAGCAGCAGCAGCAGCTGCGGCAGCAGCAAACGACCGAAGAGGAATTGCTGTCCCTGCAGCGAAGCAACCAGGAGCTGAAGCAGGAGCTTTTGCTGCAGCGAGAGCAGCAGCAGCAGCTTCTGCAGCAGCAGCAGCAACAGCAGCAGCAGGCAGAAGAGCTTACGGTGCGCAATCGCGACCTCGAGACGCTGCTGCAGCAGCAGAAGGAAAAAGTCACGAGCTTAGAGGAAGTCCTTGAGCAGCAGCAGCAGCAGCAGCAGCAGCAAGAATGGGGGCCGGAGCGAGAACAGCTGCAGCAGCAGTACAAGGAGCAGCTGCAGCAGCAGCAGCACCGCTACGAAGAAGTGCTGCAGCAGCAGCAGCAAGAGAGGCAAGCAGAAGTGGCGATGCTGCAGCAGAACCTTGCACAGCAGCAAAGGTTGCAGCAGCAAGACAAGCAGCAGCTCGAGCTGCTGCAGCTGCAGCTGCAGCAGCAACAGCGGCAGCAGCTAGATTTGCTGCAGCAGCAGCAAGAACAACACAGCCAGGAAGTCACCACTTTGCAGCAGCGTCTGCAGCAGCTGCAGCAGCAATTACAGCAGCAGCAGCAGCAGCACGCTGCTGCTCTCCAGCCAGTCGAGGAGCTGCAGCGGCGGCTGCAACATGCCGAGCAGCAACGGGACAACCTGCAGCAGCAGGTCCACCAGCAGCAGCAGCAGCTGCTGCTGCTGCTAGAAGAGCAACAGAAGCTTCAGGAAATTCAGCAGCAACGGGAGCAGCAAGAAAGGAAGCTGCGAGAGCAGCAGCAAGAGCAGCAACAGCAAATGGCAGAGGAGCTCCAGGAGCTGGAGAGTGAGCGCAAAGCACTGCAGCACGAGCTGCAGCTGTTTGCTGCTGATGTGGGGCAGCAGCAGCAGCAAGGGCTGCTGCCGTTGCAGGTGCAGCTGCAGCAGCTTAGACAACACCGAAGTCAAGCAGCATCTGAGAAGGATTTGCTGCTGCAGCAGCTGCAGCAGCGGGAGCAGCAGCTTGTCGAGCAGCTGCACCAACTGCAGGAAAAGCAGGAGCAGCACACTGAACAGCTGCAGCAGCAGCAGCGCGAATTCCAAAGTCAGCTGGAGCAGCAGCAGCAAGAGCTGGAGCGCCTGCAGCAAGAACTGCAGCAGGAACGGTTGCAGCAGCAGCTGCTGCAGACGCAGCAGCCGAGTCAGATCGGGGGGGAAGCAGCAGATGTCGAACAGCAGCAGGAGCAGCAGGATCAGCAGCAACACCAGCAACAACAGCAGCAGGAGCTGCAGCAACAGCGGATGCTCCTGGAACAGCAGCAGCAGCAGCTGCATCTGCTCGAGGAGCTGCTGGAGGACCGTGATGATGAAATAAGGGAGCTGCAGCGGCAAGCTGAGCAGCAGCAACAGCAGCAACAGCAGCGGCAGGGCCAAGCGGAGCACGACAGAATGGTTGCAGCAGCATCAGCAGCAGCAACGGATGCAGCAGCAGCAGCAAATGCAGCGCAGCAAGAAACAACGCTTCTTCATCAGCAGCTGGAGGAGCGGCTGCAGTGCCTCTCTGAGCAGTGCGAGCAGCAGCAGCAGCAAATTCAGCAGCAGCGGCAGCAGATACAGGAGCAGCAGCAGCTGCTGCTGCTGCAGGCGCAGCACAACCCCCCACAGACCAATGGTGTATGTACACCTCGGCAAGAAGACCTGCAGCGCCAGCTGGCAGCAGAACGGAGGCGCACTGTGGAGTTGGAGGAGCTGCTGCGAGAGCAGCAGCAGCAGCAGCAACAGCAGCAGCAGCAGCTGCAGCTGCAGCAGCAAGCGCACGAGTGGGAGCAGCAGCTGCACCAGCAGCAGCAACTCGAGGAGGGCCTGCGGCGGCAGGGGGAGAGAAGTCCGCAGCAAGGGCCTGAGTGGCCTGAACAGCAGCAGCAGCAGCAGCAGCAGCAAGCGCAGCAGCTGCTGCAGCAGCAAGTTGAGGAGCTGAGGGCTGAAGTGCAGCGTCTCGAGCAAGAGCGGGATCTGATGCAGCAGCAGCAAGAGGCAGCATCTCTGCAGCAAGAGCAGCAGCAGCAGCAGCAGCAGCAGACACAAGCACAAGAGCAACTGCAGCAAGCGTTCACAACTATGGAGCAGCAACTAGAACTGCTGCAGCATCAGCTGGAGGCAGAGCAGCAGCAGCACTCCGAAACTAGGCAGTCTCTTGAGCAGCAGCTGCAGCAGCAGCAGCAGCAACAGCAACAAACGGAGGACAAGCTAGGGGAAGCTCTTGCAAAGCTTGAGCAGCAGCTCCAGCAGCAGCAGCAGCAGCAACAGCAGCAAGAACAAACGGAGGGCAAGCTAGAGGAAGCTCTCGTGAAGCTTGAGCAGCAGCTGCAGCAGCAACAAGAGCAGCAGCAGCTGCTGCTCATGAAGGAGCAGCAGATGCAGCAGCAGCAGAATCGCCACACAGAAGAATTGCGTAAGAGGGACTCGCAGGTGCAGCAACTGCAGCAGCAACAGCAGCAGCAACAACAGCAGCAACAGCAAACTATTCGGCATCTGCAGCAACAGCTGCAGAGGCAAGCTGCTCAGGCCGCCGAGGACATTGCTGCAGCGCAGCAGCGGGAGAAGGCTGCAGCAGCAGCAGCTGCTGCTGCTGCTTCTCGTGTAGATGCAGCTGCCGCTGCTGCGTCTGCTGCAGCAGAGGCAAGCAGTGCAGCAGTGGAGGCCTTCCAGCAGGTGGCGCAGCATGTCCCGCAGCAGCAGCAGCAGCAGCAGCAGCAAAGTGCCCCGCCTGCCGGCGGAGTAGACGCTGCCGTTTTTGCTTCGTGTGAGCATCTGCTTATGCCGCTTCTGCTTTTTTTGCTGCTGTTGCTGCTGCAGCTTCGGGGGCGTTGTTGTGGCTGTTGCTGCTGGTGCTGCAGCAGCGAGATCTTCTGTGTCTTGCTTTTGCAGTGTCCGCGACGTATGAAGAAGAGAAGCAGCTGCTGCTGCAGCAGCTGCAGCAGCAGCAGCAAAGGGCAGAGCTGCTGCTGCAGCAACGGCAGCAGCAGGAGGCCTGTGCTGCGCTCCGTGAGCGGGAGCTGGTTTGCCGGCTGCAGCAAATGAGAGGTACGTTTGCTGCTGCTGCCTGCCACTTCTCTGTATGCAGCAGCAGCAGCAGCAGCGACAGCAGCAGCAAAGACTCCCAACTGAAGCTGCTGCTGCTGCAGCTGCTTCTGCTGCTGCTCCTCAGGCATAGCGCTGGCGGCGGCGCAGGAGACTGGGGTGTTGGGCGTCCAGCTAAAGCTGCTGTCAGGGGCCCCACAGCAGCAGCAGCAGCAGCAGCAGCA